TCTGTCTTGTTAACAGTGTGACTACTCGAGAATAGCAGGATTCTATATGATTTGAAGATATGTTCTTCTTCTTTTCTTCAGTGTTGGATTGAAAACACAGCCTGAATCCAAATGCCCTGAGCTTCTTGCTAATTACTGTGACATGTTGCTAAGAAAAACACCACTAAGCAAAAAACTAACCTCTGAAGAAATTGAAGCAAAGCTTAAAGAAGTGGTATGTTTTTGCTCTCTACTTCTGGGATTATTCTGAAGAATGAATTTGTTTGGTTTATTTCCTTACGTGGGTCGAGGCCTTGATCTTCAAAAACAATTATGCAAGGTGTAATAATAGGGAAAAGAGTTTATTATGTCATCAAGTGTGTGTGTGTTTAAACCTTGTAAATCATGCAGTGTTTCATGTCTCTGTCAGTTCACAAAATTAGTATGCTGAATTAATGCCTTTATCAGACTGTAATGTATTACAGTAACTAATGTTAGTCTAGAAAATAATACGGGAGACTTTTACATACCAATGTCAATGTCTTTTCTGATTTAAGAGAAGGTTCTTGATGGTTGACAAATAAAGAAATCAGAGGTATGAAAGATTCATAGCTGATGCCTGTGATTGCCTGAAGAGCAACTGTGTTAATGTTATGTCAAGTAGCCTTTTTCTACTTCATAGTCTACAGTGGCATTAGATGAGCATTCAAACACTTGTCAGATTGACGATGCAAATAAATATATTAAAATCTACTTTTTTGACAGCTTTTGGTACTTAAATATGTACAGAATAAAGATGTGTTCATGCGATATCACAAAGCTCACTTAACAAGACGCCTGATATTAGATATATCAGCCGACAGTGAAATAGAGGAGAATATGGTGGAATGGCTCAGAGTAAGTAGCCTGACATCTTTCTTTGGTTGTGCCTCTTGCTTGTGGTATTAATTCCTACTGTTGAACTTAGATATCCTTCTTGCTTAGGAGAGTTCTGTCTTAAATTGCAGGCCACTCGGGACAACTTATACTTCCGGTTTATTGCAATTCTTTGTGAAAGTAAAACCGTTTAGCTATTTTCCAAGAGAAATGTTGATCCTAATAGTGGTAGTGATAGATTTCAAAATATTTCACATGTGATTATCCAAAGGCTTCATATCTTCCATATGCAAATGCGCAAAATGCAGTGTGCTTGTTGTTTAGGTATGTAAATAATTTAGAGATGTGTTCTCATTGTGAAAGTTTATGTAGATTAGAATATTATTTGCATGCCTCAAACATTCCTTCAAATCTCAGAATTCACTGGTTCCTTAATGCATGCCTATGTTCTTTAGCACTTGGATTTCTTTAAAAGGATCATCATATGCCCTTAAGGGGTAGCTACTTATGAGCCATGCAAAAACCCTTTATATTGCATTGCAGATTAACTGTTACTATAAAGTGATTATACCTATGTACTGTAATGCTCTACATTATTTTTTTTTTTAGTTTATTATTTTAAAAATAAAGCTTTTTGTTCATAGTTGTCTATGTCATAGTTCAGTATTCTCTTTGTTTATACAGGAAGTAGGAATGCCAGCAGACTATGTAAACAAGCTGGCTAGAATGTTCCAGGATATCAAAGTGTCTGAAGACTTGAACCAGGCCTTCAAAGAAATGCACAAAAATAATAAACTTGCTTTACCAGGTATTTTTTTCAAATGATTTGTTATTTTGCATTTCTCTTAGTGAAAAATAAAATTCTGTTGCATCTTGAGTTAAAAATTATATCAACTGCATGTTGAACATAGTCTTCAGGGCATTGTTACCTCTAGATTGGAAGTGTCTGTAGGTTCTGCTTGCTCTTACAGTTGGCACTGGAGCTACGTCATTCTGTAAGTGATTGTGGGTTTTCGTTATGAGCAACCTTGTAGATACAGACGCCCTACTCATGTAGATAAATTCCAAGCAAGGGCTTGAATCAGTATCAACCAGGTGACTGCCTGAACTACCCCCTTCTTTTGTGCCCTCATCATTCTTCATGACTGCTTCATGCTGTGCTCCTCCTTCATCTGCCAGCAGGAGAGCTGGATGCATGCTATGAAGAGCTTAAATCACATTTCTGAGATTAAATTTCAGTGATGAGAGAGGCTGAGGAACATCCAGCTTTGGACCTGCTACTGCTGAAAACCCTTGAGTAGTGCTTACAAGCATCAGCTATAAAGCTGCATCAGGGCTTAAGGAGCTCTGCAGAGGCAAGCCAAAAACCCAGAGATTTCCATCAGTGTTGCTGGCACAAAGCCAGCAGTGCATAAATAAAGTACCTTAATGTTTAAGTAGGTAGACACCCTGCTACTTTCTGAAGATTCAGTCCTCCATAATTGTATTTACAGTAGTGTCGTGGTTTAACCCCAGCCATCAACTAACCAGGACAAGTAGAAAAAAAACTCATGCATTTTGTTTATCTATCTGCTCTACCTGGAGAGTCGTATAATCCAATACTGTCTTACAGCTGACTCTGTGAATATTAAAATTTTAAATGCTGGTGCCTGGTCCCGAAGTTCTGAAAAAGTGTTTGTCTCGCTGCCCACGGAATTAGAAGATCTCATCCCAGAAGTTGAAGAATTTTATAAAAAGAATCACAGTGGTAGAAAACTGCACTGGCACCACCTCATGTCCAATGGAATTGTAAGTGTATCGTTTTCTGTGTATCAGTCTCAATGACTGTACTTTCTGTGTACTTATAATAAGTAAGAAAACTTGTGATCCAGAAAGGCTTATAAGTAAAATTGTCATTCTATTCACAGATAACATTTAAGAACGAGGTTGGCCAGTATGACTTGGAGGTAACAACATTTCAGCTAGCTGTGCTGTTTGCGTGGAACCAAAGACCTAGAGAGAAGATCAGCTTTGAAAATCTTAAACTGGCAACTGAACTCCCTGATGCAGAACTTAGGAGGACTTTATGGGTATTTCCCTTTCTCTTGAAACAGATTTCTTCTTGATTTTTGTACTCTGGAATACTGGATTAGTATTTTTAAAGCTCTGTCAGATAACACTTTGAAATGTGAACGCCTTTCTTGCTCATTAATCAGTTGTAATGCTGGCTCCTTGCACTACTGCTGAGCACACACAGCCTTTACATTAACACATTCTCTCTACCCAGTGTTATTTAAGCTTTTGGAAACAGCAAGATCTTTTTGACCATATGCTGCCTAAAGCACACAGTTATGATTGTGGTTTGTGGAGTGGGACCGGTCTAATTCTAGGAAATCAGTGGCACCTGATAAATATATGTTGGTTAAAAATAACTTCAGTGTTTGCTTTATCAGGCTTTTAATTATTTAGCTGAAGAATAAAGAGAAATCACGTAAATCAGACTTAACACCACTTCTGTAGCCATGAGTTCCTGCATTTTACTTTGTTGTATGATTTTACTTATGCTAACGCATTTTGTGTTGCCCTCTAGCAGCTCCAAACAAGGCTACGTGGTTCCCTCACTGCAGTCTGCACAGCAGCGAACTATGTTCTTAAAAAGTAATTGTTTCCATTTAGAAAGTCTGGTGTTTTATTTTCATTCTTTTCCCCCCCCTTTTCTCTGTAGTCTCTTGTAGCATTTCCAAAGCTGAAACGTCAGGTTTTATTGTATGAACCTCAAGTCAATTCACCCAAAGACTTTACTGAAGGAACCCTCTTCTCGGTGAACCAGGAGTTCAGTTTAATGTAAGATGATGTTTGAAAAGTAAAATAACAATGTACTATTTTATAACTAAAGGAATTCACTTTAACTTAACCTTCGTCCTTGAAAGTTTTCAAGATTCAGCTAGACACATGCTTCGCTGCCCTATCCTCACTTAGGTTTGCCGATAGTCATGCTTCAAGCAGATGGTTGGACTAGATGTGACCTCCAGCAGCCCCCTCAGACAAATGTTTCTATGATTCTGATTTCTGCGAAGTAAAATTTCTTAAACACCTAGGGATGAGGTGCAAAAGTGGAGGCTCTGCTATTTCCCTGTTACTAATGAGCCCATGAAATTCCGTATAGGAAGAACAGCATGTAAGCAGAGCACTAGTGCTGTGTTGATTATTACACTCACACAGAATTTCAAAAGCAGAGTGATAAGTTAAAAAAAGAAGTGAAACTGCTTCATAATATGGTATGCTGACAAAAGCCAGGACTTTTGGTGTAGCTTTCACCAGGGAGGAGTGTCTTTATTTCGATGAGAATTGCAGTGCTCTCCTACTGGTGTTTTGAAATCCTTCAGAGCATACGATAGTATGAAAAGAGAATATCTAAATGGTATATACTACATTCAGCATGTTTTACTTTGGGTTTTGCCCCTCTCTGTTATGCCTCTGATTAGAACTGGCTCCTTGCTAGTAGCCTCAGATTCTGGGTCTCATTCTTGGTAGCAGCTGGACATGTGGATCTGGCGGGGGAGAGAGAGAGAGTGGTGATGAATCTGCTTTACTGGGGCTTAGTTTCTTGCCCAGGGCCACGGTGTTTGTTCCTGTCATCAGGATCATGAGCTTTGGGAAATGATGAGAGGGCATGACAGAAGAGACAGGCTGTACAGAAGGTTCATGGGTGACCACTGAAGAATGCCATCAGCTTTCTTTGTTACAATAGCTGGTTTTCATCCTTTTTTTTCCTGCTAGATAGACAGTTCTTTTGATGGAACTTAAATAGTCCAATTTCCTGAACTTGGTTGTAAAAAATTCCTCCAAAAAACCCTAGTTTTATATAATTAAATGGAAATATATTTCTCTGAAATTTTATTCTTTAAAATAATACTGGTAGCTTCAACTTTGGGCACCAGCATTTTCAGCTGATGGGGTTTTTTGGTAATGCTAGTATATTCAGGTTTAATTGTGCGGAGACACAGGCAGTGAGTTTTGATTTGTCAGCCAGCTATCTCACTGCCACAATGCTAATAGCCTATAAATATCTGATATGTGGTGGTACTCCTTGCTGCTCTAATTTAAGTTTAACAGGAACTCCTTAATTGAAAATGGTTTTTTTTGCTTATTTTCATACAATACAATTTTTTCAGAAAAAACGCTAAGGTTCAGAAAAGGGGGAAGATAAATTTGATTGGTCGATTGCAACTTACTACAGAGAGAATGCGGGAAGAGGAAAATGAAGGAATAGTCCAGCTAAGAATATTACGAACCCAGGCAAGTAAACTGCCAGAGGAATATAAAATTACCAATTTCTTTTCTTGGATTATCACTACTGCATGCTGCTGTCCACATGTGGATGTTGATGGATGAAATGAATGCTTTTGAATCCCATTGGAACTTCCATTTGCTGTTTGGCTTAGATCCTTTGTGAATACCAGATTTTGCTGCGTGTTTGTGCACTTGTAGTTAACAGCCTCCTGTTCTGATGTACCAGGTCATTGTTTTTAAAGAGGGCAAAGCAGATATTAAGCGAGCGGTGAAGGCGCAACTGTGTAGTGGTGGGTGGCAGCAGCAGGTGGTAAAGTGGACTGACTTGAGACATCAACGTGAACAAACAGTGTTGTTGATTTTGAGATGTCTTTGGCTACTCTGTGTGAAGAGAGTAGAGTAATCGCAGAGATGGGATCATGCTTTAGTAATAGCAGTATGACTTTTTGAGAGGCTTTCTCTTTAGAGGGAAAGTTTATAAGTACATCTTTGATGTACAGACGGCAGCATCCTGCTTTATGATTGGTTGTCATTCAGTCAGGTACTCATGTCAAATCTTTTGAGCTAACAGTTCTTAAAAAAACCTGATTTTGGGGGGGCATCAGAGATCGTTACCTACAACGGAGTCTCAAAAATCCCACTTAGCTTCAAATTGCAGGTCTGTTCTATCAGTCAGATTAGATTCCAGGCCGTGCACGTTGTGAAGTGTACCACCTGACTTAACATCTTGGCCATACATCCAGCAGAAGGACTAATGCCTGGGTGTATTTATGAAATGAGAACTTGTGCGTTCCAATTTGACATTAAACTTCCGTTTTGTGAGGTATTCACAAGGTATATAACAAGTCACCCTGGAACTGGTGACTTCTGCTCAGAGAGTGAATGAACATGAGGTTTTAGTGAGTTAGTTATGCTCTAGGTCTAAGATTTAACTGTAGATTCTCCTTTGACTGGACTTGTTTTATCTCTGGCATCGTGCCAGCACTTCATTCTTTTCCTTCATCTTATAAAAGCAATTCACAATTTACTTAGGCTAAGAAATGCAGCATATATCTGATTTTTAAGGAAAAATACAGATTTCCTTACTGTCTTGCCTTACCAGGAGCCCCCTATTAATGCTGTGTTCGCTTTGTCACTTCACCCAGGTATTTTAAAAAAAAATAATTCTTTTTTTCGCTTGTCCCCCACCAGGAGGCTATCATCCAAATAATGAAAATGCGGAAGAAAATTACTAATGCTCAGCTTCAGACTGAACTGGTAGAAATATTGAAAAACATGTTCTTGCCACAAAAGAAAATGATAAAAGAGCAAATTGAATGGCTTATAGAGCACAAATATATCAGAAGAGATGAGTCGGATATCAACACCTTCATCTATATGGCATAATTTGAGGACTCTGCGGAATGCTGAGAACATAAATGGAAGGGTGCTTGGACAGACAGCTGCAACAGTTTGTGCTGCAGAAGGACTTCTTTTGACTTTGTTACGTATTAAAATCCCTGCCTTACCTTACAGAGGACTATATTTTGCCAATCTCATTCAGCTAGCATGATGGCATTCCCTTCATGTTGCACACTTTTAACAGCATGCTGTTTTGTGGGAAACTTGCATTCATGAAGAGCCCATTGTGAACTTTTTAAAGTAGATTTGATTTACACCCACCAGGAAGAATACAGGTTTGGGTTTTTAGATGACCAGTACTTGCACAAGGAAAAAATATTCAAATATTCATGCACTGAGGAACTGCTATTAGTTTTGGTTTGGGTTTGGGGGTGGTTTTTTTTTTCGTTTGTTTGGGTTTGTTTTTTTTTAAATGCAATTAGGACTAGAAGTAGCACTTTCACTTTTGTGTTTTGGATCAACAGAGTAATGTACTGTCCACCTTTGATCCTTTTTATGTAATAACATTTGAGAGACACAAACACATGCATCATAACCGATAGGTATTTGTTACTACAGTTAAAACCTGTTGGCTAGAGCAGTGCTTCAATCTAGTAACTGGATTTTAATAATTGACACGTAAGTGACATAAAAGTAATTCCAAGTCATGGCTGATATTTTTCCTTAAGCGAGAGATCATTGTTTTTAAATTGTTTGCTGTAAACAAGTGGATAGACGTTATTTGTTACTTTATTTGGACAGATGATTTGCTACAATCCTTTTTGAGAAAGTAAAGCTTTCTTGAATGATGCTTTGCTCTAAAAGCAGTTTTCATGGGTGGGTCTGTTATACCGAACAGAAATATTAAGTGTATTTCCTTGTACATTTAATATTTGTATTCCAAATATTTAAGTATGACTACATACATTTGAATGCATTAAAGAGTAATTGATGCACAGCTCCCCCAGGAAGAAAATAACACTTGAAGATCCCTGTACTAACTCCTCATTGGTAACTTTATACATGCAAGGTTAATCCAATTAGACTGGTTTGTTGCTTAGAAGTCAACATCTTTATATGGAAAATAACCTCTCTGCTTTTTTATTTTGAAACCAGCAGGGTAGGAAATAAATTTGTAATGGAAATGGTAAAAAGCTAAGGAAAAATACCTTGTTTAGTGTATGCAGAGAGTGCCAAATACACATCAGGAATTTCAACTTTTTAATGTTACCTCTTCTGTTTTCAATCATCTTAAGTAGTCGTTTGGCACTGCCTGCCTCTCTGCTACTCTGAAATGTCCCAGCATGTACTGGACTGATAACATGAATCACTGGAGCAGAGTGCCTGTCTTGGGACAAAGGTAAGTTGCGCTTTACTCAGTTCTGTATGAATATTCTTCTATAAATGGCAAGTGTGCGAATTTTTTTCTTTAATTAACTAGTTCAAGTACAGCATGTAAAGGTCTCATCATCTTTGAAAGGGGGAAGAGGATACAATTAACTTTAGTCAAAAAGGAAAACCTTCCAGTAAGTAAGAGGAGGAGTTTTGCTTTCATGTAGTTGCAGGAAGGTATACAGGAAGAGTGGTTTAAAAGCAGACTCTGCAAGACTGGCTGTTTGCACCTGTAAACAGGCTGCGTGCTCTGTTACTGATGTAAATGCCGATGAGACTGCCTGAGAACAGTGTGTACTTGGACATCTATTTGAGTAAGGAAGTTTTGGTAGGAACGGTTTCATGAACAACAGATGGAGGGAAATCGAGACCTGGCCAATTACAATGGATTGAAATCCCATAGTTTGTTACATGCTTTTATTGGTACTCAAAGTAGATGCTGTTTAAAGATAATCGCATCATTTCTGTTGGCCCTGTGGTGTTGCAATTCAGAATCAAAAGCAAGTGGTGCTCTGTGTAGTTAACCAGTAAAACTATTTGAACATTAGAAAACTAAATTATAATAAAAACCTTTGTGCTGCAAGACTTTCAGTCTTTGTAACTTAAAAGTAATAAATGCTCACTTGGGATAATTGGGGGAAAACATGACAGTCTGAGCCCACTCTTTTCAACATAAAAAATTCCAGCCCTTAACCAGAGAAGAAGGGGTGTGAAATGGTCACGCAGAAAGAGCTGCAAAGGGGGTGATGCTGATTTTGAAGCCATTGATTTAGATTTGAGAGAGAAGTTTAACAGACTGCATCTCAGGTACAACTGCTTAGGAAGCAACAGGTTGCTAAAAGCTAAGGAGCTACATGTTCCCTCAAGTAATAAATATAAAACAATACAACCTAAATGTTATGTCAACACCTGAGATGCAGAAATAGAATTGGTAATGTGGCTCTGCCATGGTCATTTTTCTTTAAATATATACCGGAAATGGATATCGGGTTTTTTATTAAATCTGAGACTCACACCAGCAAATTTGTTAAAGATGCAGAATCACGTTTAGCATTCTTCATCAGGTCACTTTCACCAGTATGCACTTAAAAGTAGTATCACCCGGGGCACAGGGAGGTACCTGGGGTAAACTGTTCTTTTGGGGAGGGCAGAGTTCAGATCTAAATGAAAATGAACTATTCTTCACTTGCAATATGGCAACAACGCACTTTTAAGGCTGCAGTTTTTAGCTATGAATATATATGTCCAAAGACCTAGCTTAAAGAGGTGCTGCATCTGAAAAACATGTTGCCACACACACTGCCACGGTGAATAGCTATGGAATGAAATCTGGTGTAGAAGGGGCGGGAGGGGGAATCACTTAATGGGTTTAATTAAGAAATACTGTTAAATCTTTCTCTGTCCCAACAACTCGATGAGGATCTCAGTTTCAATTCTGAAGTCTTCCATTTTCCTCTTTCCACAGTTGGTGTCCCTAGCTTCTGTTTTTGCTCATCTCTCTTTCCTTTGTTACGACTATAATGCAATTACATTTCCAAAAGACAATGTGACTTTCTCATTTTCACCTTTTTAAACTTAATATAAATGTTCTGAATGTTCACGTGTTGCATTTATTTGCATTGGGATGCCATTGTCCTGTAAAGTGCAAATTTTAAAAATACAATTGGCAAAAAGATTTGATAGTTTTACAGAAAGATTTGCTATCTTAAACTCAAACTGTTTTCTATTTTCATCTAAATGACTGGGATGCTATGTTTGTAATTCTTTGAGGTCATATTTGTGAAATAAACAATACATGAAAGCTTTCCTGTCATATACACTATATGTAGTCTGGAGTGTTGAGCAAACTTGAGTTCCTGAGTTGTAATATCTATCTACGTATGGTATTTACAATTTTGAATGTGTGCCACTACCGAGATAATAATGCTGTACAATTTTGAATGGTGGTAGTTTCTGTATGGCAGTCCAGCTGAACTATTTTGATGTACTGCTTAATTTTTGAATTTTATTTTTTAAGTTGTATAATTTATTTTCTTGCAAAATAAAAATGTAATATAAAAGACTATTCATTTAGCAAGTTACCTTGGTGTCTTCCCCTGCAAAATTTTCGAGTTGAATTTCAGGTGCTGCTCCTGAAAACTGCTGCTGTATGGAATTTACCTGGTTCCAAGTCCCAAAGTCTATTAGTACTAAAAAAAAAAAAAAAGGTAAATGCTTCCACTTCTTTTCTTGTTATGATTTTTCAAGTACTTAAGGTCATATGCAGCGCTATTTAGTCTTCCAAATTCTATTTACAGATGAGCTGTAGTCTTCAATTTAAATGTATCGAAGCCTGCTATGCCAGAAGTGGCTGGGGGTGCCTGACTTTCTGTTTATCCCCTTTTTAAAAAGGGTAACTTACTGGGATGTACTTGGATTGCTAAATGCTTTGGTGGATTCATCGCTGAAATTACTTATGAGTGTCACTGAAAATGACTGGTGGTGTCACCGGGTTGTTGGGACCTTCAGGTGATCCTGCAGTAAACAAACAGGGCTGTGGGAAGAGTCAGTTACCTGAAGGAGTGCTTTTACTGTAATGGCTTCTCGTCTCTGATTGTCCTTGCCTTTTACTGTGAATCTCTTTTTTTTACATTTCAGCTCCTTTTTTTCTTTAAGTGCACCAGCTAACAGCAGTGTTTTGTGCTTTCTGGTATATCCAAAGGTTAGAACTATTTGTAGGGAATAAATAACTATTGGTGAGTGACTACTCAGTACGCATGGCAATTTGCAAACTGGCGGCTCTTGCAGGCAGAACTTTGATAGCAGGCTGCCATTATTTCCAAACTTTTTTTTCACTGTGAGGGCAAAGTGTAGTCTTTCACAACCATGGTTTTCGTTATCACAGGAGTTGCTTAGCTGAATCAACTCCTACCAGTATAAATTGATCACAGTTTAGGTAGAATCGTTGACCTAAATGTGAAGGGCTCTAAATCTGCTTCGTTCTTCTGATAAACTAAGAACTTGGCTTTATTTCTTTCTTTGCTTTAGATGTCAACATAGAATCATAGAATTCCTTAGGTTGGAAAGGACCTTTAAGATTGAGTCCAGCCATTAACCCAGCACTGCCGAGCCCACCACTAAATCACGTCCATAAGCACCCCACGTCTTTTAAATACCTCCAGGGATGGGGACTCGACCACTTCCCTGGGCAGCCTCTTCCAGTGCTTGACAACCCTTTTGGTGAAGAAATTCTTCCTAATATCCAATCTAAACCTCCCCTGGTGCAACTTGAGGCCATTTCCTCTTGTCCTATTGTTTGTTACATGGGAGAAGAGACCGACCCCCACCTCACTACCCCCTCCTTTCAGGTCATTGCAGAGAGCGATCAGGTCTCCCCTCAGCCTCCTCTTCTCCAGACCAAACCCCCCCAGCTCCCTCAGCCGCTCCCCATCAGACTTGTGCTCCAGACCCTTCACCACCTTTGTTACCCTTTCGACTAGACATTAAGGAAATTACCACACCTCTTGCATTTTTCGTAGCAGGCAGTTGAAACTTCTCTCAAGCTGAGGTAAACATGCAGGAGTTACTGCACCAGAGGGCTATGCTGGATGTCAGTAAGCCCCCCTGGCCCAGCTGAAATTCAGCCATCGCTTCTGAAGGCAGGGAGGGGTGAAAGGGAGCAGCTGGCCCAGGTGTGTCACCCAGCTTTGGTGCCAGGGGCGTGGCGGGGTGCCAGCGGCTTTTCACAGAATCCCAGAATCGATTTGGTTGGAAGAGACCTCTGGGATCATCAAGTCCAACCTTTGCCCTAACACCCCCATGTCAACCAGACCATGGCACTAAGTGCCACCTCCAGTCTTTTCTTAAACCCCTCCAGGGGTGGGGACTCCACCACCTCCCTGGGCAGCCCATCCCAATGCCTAACCACCCTTTCTGTGAAGAAATGCCTCCTCATTTCCAGCCTGAACTTCCCCTAGCGCAGCTTCAGACTATGCCCTCTTGTCCTGTCACAAGTTCCTGGGAGAAGAGGCCGACCCCCACCTCACTACCCCCTCCTTTCAGGTCATTGTAGAGAGCAATCAGGTCTCCCCTCAGCCTCCTCTTCTCCAGACCAAACCCCCCCAGCTCCCTCAGCCGCTCCCCAT